GAAAGGGAAAAGCTTGCAGTTTATTACGCCGCAAAAAAATTGAGAATATCCTTCTTACTTTCCGAGTTATAAGCCATTATATGAAAAGTGGTGCGATTTCGGCAACCTTACCCTATGAGAGGGAGGCACCTACGCGCTGAGACAACGTATGGCACTTGAAAAAAGAAGAATATTATTTATTTTTTGCATTTTCGCGTTATTTAAAAGTATTAAAATTCGCCCTTATTCGTAAAAATTTTTCCGCCAGAGTCATATTTTACGAGTATAATAAAATATTGGTAACGTTATCATGTAACAGAGTTTAATTAACAATCCAATTATCAGCTAACTGACTTGCTGATTTTTTTCTCTATTTATATTAATGAATTATGATATATAAATTAAAAGAATTACTAACTTGAATAAATTGTCCCAATCATTAATGCGATGCGCCTTACTATACATGCAACCGAGCTCTCTGTTAATTGGAATTAAAACACAGCAAAACAGAAATTCGCATTTCCTTCCGCATTAAAGTTTATCGACTAGATTGTGCTTCTTGCGTGATCCAAGGCACGTAATCGGAAACTCTCACGTAAATACCAGGAAGTCGTGATCTGCTACAGCCAATACCGGTTGAAACCACTCCGATGACCATCAAAGGCTCGGCTGGGGAAATTCCAACCATCAGGGCCCCGCCGCTGTCAGCCTAGAACAAAATATAGGAGGCTTGCAATCGTCCCGTAAGCTACCGTGGTTATGGTAAACGATGCGGTGCAAATTCCACTTGCTCTAATACGGATTGCAGGGTTGTAGGAGTATCCATCACAATGGGTTTCGGTATCGTTCCACGCGGATCCGGATCGTAAATCTCGTCGCTGGGAATTCTCAAGATGGAAACAGGCTTTTAACGGCACTACGTTTATTGTCATCGGTATTTCGAATAGTATATTAATATTGTTTCAATAATCTCAAGAATTTATATATGTTAAGCTTTTCCTTCATCTTATAGAAAATTACAAGAAAGAATTAATATTTAATTGTTTATGATTAAAAAGTGTTGATTCGCGAGATTGAAGAGAAATAACATTTTTTATAGAGAAGTCTAGTTCGTTAAAATGCTTCTATTATTGAACAATGGATACAGAATATTCTGGAAATTGTACAGCCAAAAAAGGATCAATTTTTCCGAAAGCTTCATGTAAAAAACAATATATATCTCTAATAATAAAGCTTCAAAGAAATAAATTAAAATAAATAAAAAATGCAAGTTATTGTCGGTTTACATTGGCTTGCATTTTTTACTTATTTCGTATAAAAAAAATTTTATGCACCGTTTTTGCTTATTGTTTCATGTAGAATCATTCCCTTTCAGGTTGTGCCACTGGCATTACTTCGTAGAATATAATGTTAACTTATTTATTAAGTTTTAAAGCAAGATTAAATTTAAAAAAATGATCGTATTACATATTGGAATTTCTCTCGAGTAATTATTAAAAAGATACCTGATATTATTAGAAAAATAATTGATCATCTTTTGACGTGCTAAATTGTATATAACATTCTTCAACTGCGATTCGCGTTACATCCAATATATCCTAAAATCAATTTTTATAGTTGCCAGTCGTAGTTTTCGCGCAAACGAGGTAAACAGGAAATCTAGCACATCTCAATTCCCATCGGAGCCTTCAGCAAAATTGTACTTTCGAGACTCCGTTCTTTCTTGATGTATCTCGAAGCAATACGTCCGTTTTCGATTGTTTTCTCGAGAATATCTTCGTCTAGAGGAAATATAAATTGCTGATAAGGACGCGGTAGAAACGCGGCGAAGGAAACTTATCGAGGACAAGATCGGGGGTGGTATTCTCATTTTTGTTCCGATGGACATTGACTTGGTAATGTCGTAGTGGAATTCTCGTAGAAATTGCCTTTACTGAATTAACTGCTCAATTCACGACGTGAATTTAGTCACTAGCGTGTTGGGGATGATGTGTATCTCATCCCCGTTAAGAAGGATGCAGAACAAGAGAATAGAAAAGGAAATCATTAATAAGGAAAGAAAATCATTCACTCATAAATTATCATGACATACAATATGTATATCTATTTCTTATAATGTAAAAGGAGAAGAATAATATTTAGATAAGTTTAATACGCATATACGCATTAGTAACATTTGAATAATTGTCTCCAATTCACATATTAATTTTTTTCATATATTAATCTTTTTTAAAAAAATTTACAAAATTTTTTTAATGAATTTCTCTAATTATTAAAAAAATAATTTTTTCTCGTACATGAAACAAGAAAAATGTATTTGATATAATAATTATTAAATGTTAATTGTTTCATTCCTTCATCCTTAACTTAAATCTAAACTTTCGTATTAAAAATATCTTTTTGTCTTATACATATATACATCGAGTAATCAAGACGATAACGTAATTTAAACAACAATCTTCGTTCTTTTAATAAACGTTATCGCTCCTTCTCCAATCCCTGTTACAATTTCGCATAAATACCAGCCTACGTTAGAGATCCGCAGAGCGAGGCCAATGCAATTATATACGATCCAATTACCGGGGACCAGTATCATCCAGCATGGTCGGCTATCATGCCTGAACAGCATTGTATACGCATTACCACGGTAGCGTGGGTATTTATTGAAATTCGCGTCGTGCCCGCCCGACGAACCATGAATTCCATGATCGGGCGATTGACAAGCGGCGCCGAACGAGCAACGATGCGGCAGCGCAAAAATGCGAATGTCCACGTGCGAACGTTTCACGCGACCGAAAGATAAATTCGCAGCGGACACCTTTTTCACTTACCCAGCAGGAGTCTTTTCCTCCTTCCTCCCAGCCGGCGCACATTTGCTTCGTTCCAACGCTGAATGACTTGTCCTGACTCGCGTACCATTCATCACACACAGCGTTCGTCACCACGCGAACTTCCACTTTTTGCAGCACGTCCGCTCTCTTGTCTAAAATATAACGGCAATTTGTGCTGTTTACTGCGACTTTAGACAACATTATTGCTAACATTCGTCATTGTCCTAAGACGGAGCAACTTAATGACGTTCCAGTCCTAACCATGTTGGAGGAAATAATTTTAAAATCACATTATAACGCTAAAATTTTATATCTGTAATGTTTAAATTTTATAAAGATGTGTTAAAGCGTGCTTAAATATAAATAGGTATCACGTTGCTGATACATCATGAAAAACTATTACGCGCAAAACATTATTTATGTAAGCAAGCGTTATTTATCATGAAAACCGTGATATATTTTAATGGATGAATTTAATTAATAATAATTACTGCAGATCTAGTCTATGTTATAATCTAGTTGTTGTATTAATTATAATACCCAAAACGCTTTACAATTTTAATATAAGAGTACAATTAATATCTATTTAATGAATTTAATTAATTACATAAATTCGAAGTTGATTATAAGATGCGAAATATGATGTTCATTAGACAAGTTTTAAATACAAGGTGTTAAACAGTTTTGTTTATTGAAATATCTATCAAAATATTAATTTTTTTGTCGTAATTGAATATAACGTATAAAATTTGTATAATTGTATTATAATCAACATTTCAGATAAAAATAACGTTTCCGTAAAAATAATGCGCATCTCGATGACTTCCGTTTTATATGTGAGTAAAATGACCTTGTCCATTTTATTGATTTCAGAGAGAGATGGAGAGAGAGTTGGTATACTTCTACTCTACTGGGACTTCAACGCTTGTGAGAACTTTGGTGATTATGGAAACTTTGGTGCGTGTTTCGTCGCTCCGATCGTTATCGTGATAAGATTTATCGAAACTTCAGGCTTACTGATATATCTCAGGTATTTATGAAGACCCTGATATTCGCAACTTGGTCGACGATCGAGTAGGACCTTTACCCGCTGCGCCCCTAACAGAGATTTACTCACAACTCACGAATTATATAATGGCGTTTACGTACAAAAATATCGAGATACACCGAGTCTTCAACCTCAATTATTATTAATTGTTAGAAATAAAAAGTGTGTAACCGCTGTTGACAACTGCCATTGACGCGAAATTATTGTATATGATACCCCTATGTTTAAAAGAAAAATTCTTTTTTAAATTATACGATATTACATAAAGAATTATATGATGATAGCGAGAATTGGAACTTCCGGATGCAGTGTCACGCGGCGGTAATTTTATATTGAAATAGTACGTTTGCCCATAAGGATCAAAGTACAGGAATAATCATCACGTAATGAGAGCTAATCTCGAAGCGCCATTACCTTGTATGCAATCGATATCGAGAAAAGAGAGACAATTATTTACTCACATTTGCTTCTATCTTCTCCGAGCCATCCCCAGCCAGCTACTATAGCTTCAACGCCACCAAAGGCGCTGTACCCTGGTTTTCCTGTAGCCACAGGTAAACATGCGGGTTTCACGCTTTCCGACCAACTGATCGGACTAGCGAGCTCCAGCAGAGCAATATCGTCCACATACTTGCCGCACCTGTGACCAGGATGCAACACCGCGTTTATGACGCTTTCATGTCTTGCGGCTGGCACTTCTGGAGCCCTTAAATTGTGCTCACCCAGAGTGATGCGCAATTGTCCTATTGGTATTTTGTTGGTGCCACTGAAATTAAAGTGAAAACGAAAGATTTAATTCGCGAACAACACGCCGTATTATTTAACAAACGCTATTGAGACGTAAATATATTTTTTTTTCTTTCTATCTTTTTTTTCAAAAAAGACATGTGCTATACACTGTTAAAAATTTCATGAAATTTAATATACTTTTAAGTTACACAATTTGAACTTAATTTCATGACATTAGATTTACATTACATTAAATTTAATGTATTTATAACTAAAAAGTATATTTGTATACATGTACATAAAATTTAATGTATTTTTCATGAAAATTTATGAAATTTAATGTACACGTTCATTACATTTAAGTAACTACTGTAACTTAATTTTCATTAAATCATTCATTTAATTTAGTTCATAACCACGAACTTCATTTACATGTAAAGGAAGCTCGTGGTTACATTTCTAACAGTGTAGAATATATGAAGTTTAAATTACAACATGCGATCAAAATTAAAGCGTTATATTTTGTTCAATTGTTGTTTATTTGGACAATAATCTGGAAAAAAATGTATTACAAAAAGAATAATAATGTGCATTCCATATAATTTATGTAAAATTATTAATTATTATAATTATGATATTATTGAATAAAAAAATTATGCGTGTTTTTTTTTGTATATTTTATGTAAAAAGTTTGAGATGAATAATGTATGTATCTTTGAAAACATTTTGGAAATTTCGAAATGTTTGACTTACACGATTCTCGTAAAAATCTTTATTTTCGCGTCGTAAAAATTGTGAATGAAAAACAAAACCGTATTCTTTATTCTTCTTTTGATTTCCTCATAAGAGGGCTTTATCTAATATCGAAATGGCACCAGAGAATAATCATCGCACAAATTTAGGGCACCGAAAATGGAAATGTTCGAGGCGGAAAGTTCCTTACCATCGATGTATCCTTCCATTTCTTTTTCCCCGCCCAACCCTCCCTTTAACAGTGCTGACGAATTCCAGCTCTTTCGCAGTTTCTTTCCCTTGGACGTCAGTAATTATTTAACCGGGATTTTTGTCCCGCTCGAACGACGCGTCTGCAGAGCTCCCTTGAATGCCTGACCCGGCCGGAGTGGCTTCAGTTAATTAATCGGTCTATAGTACCTCTGAATAATTAACAATATTACGGCACCCCCTCCATCAGGACTATCCGCTCCATCCGTGCCCCTTTCCCCGCCGCCGTCCCGCATCTCGTGACTGTGTTTCGCAAGCCCGTACCGTCCCACTTTCGTCAGTAACCCCTTGCACATCTTCCCTCGTGCTCCTCTGGAGTTTATCGCGGAGCGTTTTCTAAGTTTCCAGGCCCTGTTTCACCGCCGCTCCTTACAAAGCCGCCTTAATGGACCTTTCCATCGTCGTCGAGTCCCCGCTATTGTTCCGCGGCTCACGGATTATACGGTTTACTTTCAATGCATCTCCGGCACTCGCTTCTCTCTTCTCAGCGTCGCGCCCTTCCAATTAAAATGCACGAGCGCTCAGACGAATTGCAGCGAGGACGTTGCTCGTTGCGACAAGATATATTGTAACAGCTACTATAGCCAATGCTGATTTGTTTGGACAAACAATTTTAATATAAGCTAGCATTTCTTATGGCAAACGTTCTATTAAGATAAATCGGCAGCTTGATTTATGAAACGTTTACTTTAAATATATCACAGAAGTTACTATCATAATTGAACATACACTGTGTTACTTTCTCACGTCTGCCTACCTAAACCTCCCACTTAATCAAATCTTAATGAATAAATTATATAATAATGCGTTATTTATGCGCTCTCAAAATATGCAAAAAATATTTTTTTTTAGTTAAACGAAATGAGCGTGAAAATTTTTTTTGCGTATTTTGAGAGGGCACAAATAACGCATTTTTATATAATTTATTCATTAAGATTTAGTTAAGTGGGGGAGCCAGCTAGGCAGACTTTCTCCTGTCCAGTATGTACGTTTACGAAGTATTGACGACGAAACACAAAACACTCTCTTCATACAAATTATAATCGATTCATGATAAATGAGATTAATATAAGCTATTGAATTATCAAATATTCATAATAGCTAAATGTACGTATTATGAATATTTAATAATTAATTATATAAATTTATTTATTGGCTGTTTATACAGATTTATTTATATATATAATTATATTTACTCTCTAATCTGTATGATCACTATGGTGAAATCAAATCTCTCTGACCTGATTTTATTAATTTCAGTAATATACATATGTATATATTATATTTGAATATATGTATATCTGTACAAAATTACGTTTACTATAATACCCGTAATCAGTATGATGAAATCAAATCTCTGACCTAATACAGTTTCTCAGCAATATGTGTACTTAAACATGTATATATCCGTATCAAATTCAGGTAATTTTAATTTATTAAAAGTTTTCAAAGGCTTCCGCATTAATTATATGGAAAATTAGGTCGGTGAAATGAGTTAGTTTTTACATATAATGTAGCTTACAATATAGTGAATGTTGTGCCAAAATTATTAAATTTAAAGATTAATGTTTGTATGAAAATGGAAATACCTACAAAAAGAGTTTTAAAGTCGCGATTTCAAATATGATAAAAAGAACATTGCAAAAATCAATTTTGTAACAAATTGTTATAAAAAAGTGTTAAATATTGATTGTAGAAGGAAACCGATTATACCAATCGATTCTATAGAAAAAATTACAAAAGAAACACCTATAATTTTTTTAAATTGATTTTTTTATAAAATGAAAAATGTATTTGCAAAAATTTACATGATTATCAAAAATAGAATTATTTCTCTTCATTGTGTTATTTTTTTGTTAAGCTTACTAGCTAGCTATGAGCTGAAACGAGTTTCAATAACCCGTGATTTTTATCTTATTTTTCTGCATAATCGGAAAACGAAAGAAGAAAAAGTTATACATGCTTTTGTAACCACAGAATAGATTGGCGTAATCCCTCTATAATCAATATTTAATAACAATTTCAATATTTAATAACAGTTTCAAACAATTTGTTATAAAATTAATTTTTGTAATATACTTTTTATATCAAAAATTTTTCTACGCTTCGGTTTTATTTTCTATTATTATTTTTTCTTAACCTTACTGGTTTAGCCGTGAGCTTTTTTAATGAGTTAAAGAAATAAAATTAAACTTTATTTTATCTTGATGCTGTTACCCTAAATCAAATTTTTTAAATTAAAATATATCTCCTTTGAAATCATTTATTCTGAAAAAAATCACATCGCAGTATTTTATCTATTTCTCGAAATATTTAAATGCATTTATTAAAATAGGCCATTTTATATTTAATGGAGAATTTTGTTAATAATAAAAGGAAAATAACAAAAATCAAGACAAGTTTTGAAGCGGACATCCTACAAAATGCAATATCATTAGCTTTTTCTAAAAAAGTCATAAAGTCTTATGAAGCAATAAGTAGGTGGTCGTGAAAAAATGAATATATTACCAGATTAATTATTTAATATTTAAATTTTATTGTTATATTATAATCTTTGCTCGTATTTTCATTTCTCTCATCCATAGAAGTAAAAAAAATCAGACATAGACTTTGGAATTTAAGAAATTTTTAGATAAAAGATATTTTATAGAAGTAAGTTAAGGATCAATTCTATACGTTTTAGACTTTCTAATCCTATTAAAGATAAACTAATTACGGTATTCACATATTCTAGAGATAAACTTGATTTTTGGTTACTTTTTGGAGTATATTATGTAATGTGACGAATAAAAGATATCATAGACATAAAGCTTAATAAAAAATAGTTTTTTAGCTATGGTGTATCAAATTTGTTTTGTGAGCATAAGTTTTATTTGATACACCATAACTAAAACTATCCATTATTGAGCCTTGTTGTCTTCTGTTGACTACATTGTAAGCTGCATTATTTGTGAGAACTAACTCATTTCACCGGAACTCAATTTTCTACACAATTAGTGCGGGACCCTTTCTTGTATTGTTTTTCTATTTATTTAAGAAACAAGCGGAATGAAGAACAGAATCGATATTCCAAAAAAATATACATTTAAATAAATTAAAACAAAGTTAATTAAGTTGTTCAGTTTATACCTTCGCAATATATAATATATATATATATATATATATTGCATCTTTCTCTCATTGCACGAATAATATTTGCTATTCGGAACTATGATTGATTTTTTCTACGACCAGCTTCGTTAAAAATTAATTGGACGCCGAATCGGTAAATCGATTGGAATTAATTTCGGTTCGGCTCGTTAAATCGTGCGGCTCTCCTGGCACTAGTATATCGGCACACGAACGCGTCCGTGAATTACGCAACGTTGCACGCAGAATGACGTTGGTAATAAGGTACTGCTGAACATTAATTTACCGTGGGATATCGTCGAACGAGAAATATCGATGCTGCGTCGCTAGGTTGCCAGTTCTTGTATCGCTATACAAGGACATAATTTATATCTGCTTGCATGACGATTAATCAACCGTATTATTCACAACGCGCGTATTGTATTAATAGTAATTGGTCGACGCATCATCAGTTCGATAGAACAACGCGTTATAATTTGTTTAATTATTTACTAACGAGTTCCATTTTCTACACATACAGCTTATGACGTGTGAAAATATAAGCACATACATATTCTAAATGAAAATCTTTTTCGGATAATAAATGTTTGATTCAATATTTCCAATTTTATGTATCTTTAAATATGAAATTTTAAATAACAAATTTTTGGCAATTTTTTTTCACGAAATATTTAAATTAAATTATGATATCGAAAGAGATGATTGTATACGACGAAAACATCATTTTTATTTAACAATGAGCTTGAATTATATGTATAACAATATTTCTAAAAATCGATTATTCATTGTTGCATTTGTATTATTTAGAATCTCTAAAAATGGCAAAAGAAAGCTGCAATGAATTTTATCCTAATTTTTTTTCTCGATACACGATAACAAGGGGATCTAGTCTCCATAAATTTGACGCAGCGAGGCGTTAGATATCACTGGTGAGCGTCGGGTTGTCTGTTTTTGCGCGTAAATGATACCAAGCGGTGAGAAAAACCAAAGGGGGAAGAGGATGAGGTAAAGTGAGACGATAGTGGACACAGCCACCTTCATTTTCACGCCCTCCTGCCTCGCATCTTGTTGCAACGTTTTCCATACGTTTTGCATGGCCGCTAGCAATTACCGAGTGGTCTGTAATCTACACGCAATCATGGTTTACAACGCCAAAGCTCGACGCTGAATTCTCTCTACGGCCGCTCGTCGCCCCCGAACGGCCCCTATTGCCCTCCCCATCCCGTCCTTCTGTAATCTGTCCAGTGACCGAAAGGGATACGCAATATCTGTACGTTTTGTTGCCCACCCAACTATGGGTCTGCTCGCGCGTTTAATTATATCTACACGAAAGCTATCCTGCATACATGGCTGCTGTAGCCGTACAAACTCGTCTGCTGCGCAATGATAGTGCTTCATTTATAATGCGCGTTCCATTAAAAAGAAAGACTCACTCAAATTCGCTTACTTTAACTTAATATTGTCGGAAGCAAAAGCTGTAGATTTAATAGATTTTCAGTGAAATATACAATGATATAATTTTTGTGTAGTATGATATATAAAATTTATAACAAGCTTTTTGTAGAGTCTATATACATATATATATTTTATTAGAGACAGTTTATATTTGTTGATTGATTAATTAGCAATACGCTGACGAATTTTACGCGAATGCAGCTTGTTGTGAAATTTTTGCTTATTTTTAGTTGAAACTTTTCGCTTGACATAGCAACGCGATAAAAATCATACGGTACACATACCTCTCTATTTGCTTTATTTATATAACAGGTAGAGAGATTCTTGTGATGTCGGTTAAATTTTACAGTAACTTTTATGTCATCATTTTTGTACGTGCGTATCAAGGTCTTTTTCCTTTGAGGAGCGTGATTTATTTTTTGCGGTACAGCAGCAATTTAAAAAAAATAGATCGTTTGCAAATGAGATAAACTTGCACATATCTCATATATAATATAAATTTGAATAATCACTAACAGTATTTTGTATATATTATATAATTCGAATTAAAAAATTTCAAAATATTTTAAAATATAATACATTGTTAACATAAATCTGGTTGAAATATTAAAATCGGGAATTAATACAGATTTTAAAATAATTTCTTTATTAATTTAAAAAAGATGAAATTAATTTTTCTTTATTTATAGCGTACTGAAAACTGTTAATTTATAATAATTTATAGAAAATTTTCAAATTTCAATATTAAATGTTTAACCGATTAAATTTTAAAAAAATGTTATAATAATAATAATTATTATTATTAAGGGCAAAAAATGGAATATTTTGTACATAGATAGACTTTTGAGATAATAATCAAGCCTCTGGCGGATTTAACGAGATTTAATATGCGAACATCCTATTAAAAGTTGTCAAGAAATTGTAAGTTTCAGATCGACCGTTGAAATTAAAGCCTACTTCGTAAAGGACTTATTGTTAGTCTTTATAGAGACTATGTACTCCCTTAATGAAGATGCATCTTTTGAAAACTTGTTACTGAAGTATAAGCAAAATTAAGGACGTGCTATAGTATATAATTTTGGGTTTATGCCATTAATATATATCAGTGTTATTCACATAATTTTACTTTTCTTTGACATGCACATTTATCATAAAAACGAAAGTTAATATATTTCAAATAGGTATATAAACTTGAAATAACTATATATAAAAAATAAGATCTAAACTTTTTAGTTCTATATAATATTTATTTCAACTCTAAAAAATTTCTAATCAAACTGATTTAAAAAAATTTATTTAATATAAAGATTAATAGAAAGAGATAAATTAATAGAAGGAAATAATAGAGGGATTAATAGAAAGATTAATAGAGGGAATTTAAACGCTTTTTGAATTATTTAGGATAATCACTATCCATGATAAATGATAAACTGTCAACATTAGAGTTAAAGAATAAAAAATTTATAATTTCTGTGTTCAACACGAAATGCAGTTTGTAATATATAAATTATTAAAACGAGGATTACTCACGAACATAAACAGTGTCCAGCAGTTAATATAAATTTGTCATTCAAAATGGCGCCGCCGCAAAAGTGTCCACCTTTCCTTGTTATGCTCACCATCCATGGAAATTCACGTGGCGCCGCGTCCTGACCTCCGACAATTCTGGCTTCTCGTGCCATCTCACTCCTACCGCAAGGAACATCTGCCACTATCAAATACGAATTTCCTCGATTAATGTTTGATAACGATTAATTGCCTCAGCTATTTCGTTGCAAAGTCGGGTGCAAACGCTCGACTCGTCCGATACCCTCAACCACTAACGTCAATCGATAGCGACACGATCTTAAACGCTCGATCTCGCTTTTTCTTTTGGTCGCAAATGAAGCGAAGACGAGTATTGGCACATTGAGAAAGTGTCTAGAAAGTCGCCAAATCGGACGACACGCCGTGTAATCTGTTTAACGATACTTAGCGCCATCGTCTGGTCGTTCCTCTTCTATCTTAATAAAAGAGAAAAACATTTCACTTTTACAAGATTAATTGGACGTCCAATTAACGTGTCGTTTCCTTGCCTTTTTTTTCATTCTCGTTTATATATTTCCATGCATAAGAACTTATCGTCACCAGTTTTCGACAAAATCCTATAATATCCATAAATCACGCTGTGTTATAAATATATTAAGAGATCTTACTTTATAATTTTTCTCTCGAAAGTCCACTTTAGACGATCTATAATTTGCGACCAAATTCGGAACAGAATTCTATTTATAATTTTGCGTATAGTATAATATAGAAGACATTTAAAGAAAAATTCACACGTATACAAACTATATATCAGAATACACATTTATATTTAGGATATGTGACATAAAATTATAAGTAGAATTTTATCTTGAATTTGGTCGCGAATTATAGACCGTCTAAAGTGAATTTTACGTTTTCTATTATTTATTTGATCACTAACGCGATTGTGTTTATTCAATACTTTATTGATTAGGGTAAATTGTTCGCGAACTAGATTGGAAAGTTAAGAGAACCCATCTGAAATATTGCAATTATTATCAAATGCTGTTAGTATCGGTCATTGGACCATGTTTCGATTATTCCGATCCGTAGGGAATTACCATCTGCACTCTTGTTGACGAGAGCATATTGACAGGCTATCGATCGTCCTTAGTATTTGATGATTAATGTCCATGACATGGCATAAATGAGTAGAACGACTTCCATGTATGCATAATTGGAAGACCAACGAGATGATAATACAATCAATTTTTAAGCATAGATGTAACAGATTCTAATCGTAAAATTTACTGAAAGTTATATAAATTATTTTAATAATAGAATTTCTTTAAAAAAAAATTACGATGGATTATAAGATTATAAACTAACATTTATTGTCGTGTAAGTATTATAAAACATTAAAGAAAAAATATTTGCGAATAGTAAAACTGTCGTTTAAAAAATTTCGAAAAATTTACTGTTTTTTATTTACAAAAATACAAAATTTCTTACTTAAATCCCTTTCGTACATGCATGAGTTGCTATTTTTATCAGTACATTTTACTGAAACATCATAAGGAGTGATTATCAGTATGTTATACAAATTGAAGGAATTCGAAAATGTCGATACAGTTTTTATTAACATCAATTAAAAGAAAGGCTATTATTGTTACATCAACGCGATAAATGCGGTCACGTCAAAATAGTGAAAGCACATTCGGCTGCAGTTGGCGATTATATAGTCCGTTATACCACAGGTAATAATCATAAATTGTGCTGTTAATTAATAATAATTAAATTGCACTAATTACGTCGAATTGTAATTGATTCCGCTATTATAGAAAGGACATGAAAAAGTCTTTTCAAAAGTTTATTATTAGTTCTTTTGGTTGGTACAAATTATTATTAATAAATTACAATTCAAATATTTCTAATTGTTATATAATTTCGTTTGCAAATTTTTTAGAAAAAGAATAATTAATTTCTCTGTTTAAAGGGATTGATTTGCACTTCTCTATGATTGATTTAATTATATATGCGTGCTTGTGAAAGAAATAAACAACCGCGCCTCGATATCAATTAACGATCAATGAGTTGGAAGTTCTTGAAAGTAAAAAAAAAATTAATTGAATATATTTTATATGATTTACTTTATATTTTTTATTGAAGGAATTGGGAAAAAATGCATTCTTAAAATTTGTCTCGGCCCATCAGCGCGTCTGATAGTGTTGTGTTTAATTGAAATCCGAAATTGCCGCTTTGCCGAAATGTTAACCGATTCGAGCGGATCCCCTCCTGTGGCAGAGCGCTTGGCGTCGCACGGATTTAATGCCTCGAGCAGATAGGGACAGATACGGCGGATCTGTCACTACAATCACTGCGACGTCCCTGCCCCGCGCGCGGAACCCCGGTTATCCTTCTCCCTGTACCTCTCACCGCCCCCCTTGAACCTCGAACCCCCTCTCGTTTCACGCCCCGACTGATTAATTGGACCTCTACGCCTACACCACCACATTTCCACCCATACCCGTCGCTCTTCTATAACGGGCGAGGAAAGCACGTCGAAGCGGCCGAGAGGGAGGCGTTGGTAGCACAGAATTCGAAGTCACCTCTATTCCGAAACGCGTAATAGATATGTCAAAAGCAGCCCGAGGGCGCGATCATGATAATACGACCAATGCCTCGGTTTGGTGACCAGGTTTGGTGCGGAGGCACCCCGTTTATCCTTCCAGTCAAGTCGATTGTGTTTGGAAAGGTCGAAAAAAGCTTGCTCTCCCTCTCTCTCTCTCTCCCCCTCTCTCTCTCTCTCTCTCTCTCTCTCTCTCCCTCTCTCTCTCGTCGTGTTTTTGGAGAAGCTTGGCTATTGCCGTAAATCGACAGAATCTTGGCAGTCTCGAAGTCACAGTGCGTTTATTGTATTGACAAAATAAATCGTACGAACTTATGAATGCGCAAGAAAAGTCAAATCGCCAAGCGATAAGTATACTGTATACGTGTACTTAATAAGTGACTCGCATTTGTGATTGATTGAAACAATTAAAGGAGAGAAATTCAAATTGCATGTGACAATCAAATCTCCTTAATGCTCGTCGTTCGCATAATACATTTATATATGTAAGATATTAAGGAGATTAAACTTTGTTTGATATTGATTCTCTGCCAACGATAAGATAAATCTGGAGACAGCCATGGACACATCTGTCGTAACAATTTCGGGCTTAATATCTCACCTGAAAAACCAATGAGATAAAAAGTTCTTTACAGATTACTCACCGAGTAATTATATCAAGTGTTCTCTCCGGGCCAATTTAAAATGTTACAAATCCAAAATCTGCGCGGTAATGCATTTAACGCGATGGCGTTTTAAAGGGAAGCGTTCCAATTTTACCAATACGTATTAAAAGTAATGTACTTATTATCTTACGGATAATTCGCTTGCCAGCCAATAAATTCCACAATTTCAATACCTTTTCAATAGACAAGGCGTATAAATCGTTTTTCATTAAACGTGTGTAATGTCCGAAGCAGTACACTATTTTCATAATTTATTCTACTACATGATAAAGAAAAAAACGAATTGAATTATAGATATCTCTTGAGAAAAATATAATAAATTCTCTCAATATATATTAAATATAACTCTATAATTTCTGTTTGTATTACTAAAATGCAATAATGGATGTTTCATGTTGTTTTTTTCTTGTATCTTCTTCAATAAACCGTGAGTTTGCCAGCATTACAAGTTTATGGAGTCTTTTTGCGGCCTCGAACGGGTTAAGAACCTTCCTGATATCGTCCGTCATGATTTTGACATTGAACGGTCGTTGACAAAATCTAAAATAGTATAGCTCTTATTCTGCTGTGCCGTGAGGTCGTGTACTTCTCAATTTCCGACCTTTTCGGCAAGACTTATTCGTTAATTTCTATCTCGTTTTTTCTATCGTGCGCACGTATTCACTTTTTGTTTGGGAAAAAGCAGCTTAATGCCAAAAATGCAACTAGGTTTTTTTCTTTTAAATAGCCTGGAACTACTTGCACCGTCATTCGACCAAGTTTATTTCCTCAATTTCGAGTACTTTCATAAAATATGTCATTACTTTTTCTGTTAGCGGTAAACCACATTTTTTCGATTTTCGACGCGGCCATATATTCGAGCGGTCGTAAACTGCGACGTAACAGCAATGTAATTTGCGCGCAAACGTAATTTGTTTATCGACCAAAATAACGGTAGCCGAATATTTCATGCGCGGAATATTTTTCCATGTAATACCGATTACCTTTTATTTACAAATCGCTGGATTTAAAACGAGTCAACCGAATTTCTGAAAATATTTTAGTAATATTAAAGTATATATTTATACGAAATATAAATAAAACATACGCCACAAACTACGGATATAGAATTTTGGAAAATAATTTAATTTGTTTAATGGACGCCAGATACTGATTTTGATTTGCTGAATGGTAATAATTACCAAAATTTTGTTCAATTCTCGGCGACGACGATATGAAAGAGTAATTATTTTTAACGTTGTATTGCATATCCGCGGTATGTTGCATAATCTCGCGGTTGATTATTCAGTTACGATGCGTAAAATTAATGCTCATAACAATCAATGTAATTGTTCGGCGAAGGAACGATTGGCAGGTAGTTATCGGTCTGATGAATAAATCACTTTGCTTTGCCATAATATCAATCCTAAATATTTGATAAAAACGGCCGTTTTATTGTCGGTAAAACAAATAATTACAAATTCACCCGGGCATCGGTATTCCATCTGATGTTTCGCGCCAAAGAGTGAATTGTAAATGAGATAATGACTCTCTATATAACCTGCATTATGCACCGGGACGTGTTGTTCAAATAATCTATCAACGCGCTGTCTCTGCCACGGGAGCTTTTTCGGACGTAAATCAACATAGGGGACAATTTTTTGCGGAGCGTTAATTCCATCACTTTTTTCATGTGCATGCATTTTATCTCGATCGTCCGGTCAGTTGGCTGTCGAAATTTGACATACAGAATGAAATATTTACCCATTCCTGTATCTACTTGGTGGAAAAAAAGCAGAAATACGATTGATATTAAAAGGAAACTATTATGAATTGTGTCAAAATCTGCTAAAAATATGTCTTGGTAAGAGGAAATTGTGATTCTGTAAATGGTTTAAAGAATTTCTAAATAATCTTTTTTTACTTTTGATCTGTATAATATCTCTTATCATATAATCTACTAAATGTTATTATATTAAACGATTAAATATTCGGAAACCAAGCTAAAAATATGTTCGAGGAGACACGCTATTATCCTTGTTTTTGTTTAATAAACGATGAAGATGGAATGACACAAATAACACTAATAGGGTTTCTCCGAATATACTCTAGGTTTAAAATTTCTAAATCTATTATATAATCTACGATTTAGTAGGGTATACTTTATCTGTAGCCCCAGATAGATTGCAAATAGGATTACAGTTATATGATCATCAAGTCTATTAGCCATATTACAATAATTTGATGTGATTAGTTAATTTGCTCGATATATTAATGTTTAACCACTTGATGGTCGTCTATTATGTCAAATACTCAAATAGCGATAAATACGCAACTTATTGCAAAATAAATTCGGGCGATGTCTCAAAAATTAAAGATAAACGCTCATCTTAGTTAAATTATCTTTTTTATAATTGATATTATAATAAAAAAAATCTTGAAATGGTTTTTTTATATATTAATTACGGAAAAATTAATCTAAATTTTGCCGAACATATATATGCTTGAAATTAAAATAAAATAGTAAATATTCAACAAATGTCTTTCGAGAATATATGTTCAGACCGAGATTTGTTATATATTTTCTTCCGTCCTATTGTTTTCTCTTTTACTTCAGTGTCTCATTAAGTCACTTTCGAGCATTGGCTGGCAGTGGGAAGCGAATTTCGCTACGCTAATGGCGAACACTAAATTCGGTTTATTAACTTCCGGTGTTTCAACGTAATCCACAAGCTTCTATTCCGAATTCTCCATTGACTTCCGTTTACCGTCTAATACCTCCACTCCGGCTAAATGGATGCCAACCCACAGAAAAGCTCGAGTGCAGCCGTTGTCGGCCGATCTCGCCGTCAGCAACGAACCGCAGCATAAAATGCATCTAATAACATGCGACCGCTATTCAAATCATTGGAAAATACATTTTAGTGTTTCCTGTGCCGACTTTGCACAACTCGTCGATTTATAACAAACTTCCTTTAAATATCTTCTATTACCTTACTTGACAGTTATTATATCTATTTAATGCTTTTTTATGATAATTAAACTGTCGTTTATATATGAATGCAACCGTTAAATAGCGCGCACATACTAGTTAAGTTGAGGAGTAACAAACCATGTTATGATATTTCATCGCTTCATTCCAACACTCTTCTCGTAAATGACTCGATAACCTCATTAAAGGTTTTAGGAATGTAAAATGAAGTTACGTTCGACTAAACGATTTTTCAATTTCGTGCTAACCTTATCATAGGCGATTCATGTTTTATTGGTTAAACGAAAAAATCGTTTGCTGGTTTATTCTATATAAAAATACTAAATATGTTTAAATTTCTGATGACAGGTTGGTACTGATAGAATTACAAAGTTTTTTTTATTGATTTTTCCCACAGGGAAACTGGTCCGCACAGAAATTTAAGCTTAGCAAACCTACAACTTTTGTAAATAATAGTATAATAAATAGTTGAAAAAAAATAGAGGAGCAAAAGATAATTTAATAGGTAGTCTACATATGCATGTGTTAAAAAATTTTAATTAAAAACGCTACAAAAATTAATAAAAAGATCTTAGTGATTCTGTTTTATTCATATTCAGGAATAACGTAAAAGTTCCTATATAAGGAACTAATATATCAATTAAATATACAGGGTATCCTATTTTAATTTACCCAGGCAATTATCTATCCAGAAAAAGGTGGAAGATACGGAAAAATATTTCAGATGAAAGTGAAACGGTTTCGAGGAGGATGTATTTTGATCATTTTAGGTAAAGTTATTTTTTTGGTAAAGACGCCTAAAAGATAAGAAGTCATTTTCATTAAAAAAAAAAAAGAATTATATCATATTTTTTACATATCTCTAATTATTCTACATATAAAAGTATTAAGAGATATAAAAAACCAATAATTTATGAGATATTTAATATTTTATATCAATATGCATCAGAATGAAGTATAAAATATCTCAAACTATTTTTGATATCTCTACCTCGATATTTTTATATGCATAATAGTTAGAGGAACTATATTTTATGTAAAAGAAACTATATATTTCTATTTAAAAAAGAGAAAGTGATAATCTTTTTGGCGCTTCTACCTATAAAAAAAGCAACGTGATAAAAATACCTCCCTCTGTTACGTCCACGTCACTTTTATTAACGTCACATTTCTAACATAAAGTCTACACAATTTTTTTTCCTAAATATTCCTGATAAATCTTGCTTCCTGCTACTTATCTTATTTGCTTTCATCTATTGTTTTTAGTTTTTTTTTTATTATTTATTCTTAAGATCCGTCTTGAATATTCAGTCTTACAGATATCTTATGACTCATCCCTAAACTGATTCGTGAGTCATCGACACTCACATATCTCAGTTTTTTTCATCCCCATCACGTATATTTTTAGTATTTGAAAATGTCACGTAATTGGTTAAAATTTATCGAAATCTCCACCTCTTTTATCGTAGTGAAGATCCTTCTTGTTCTGACCGAGTCAGTCTTCTCGTAAGCTGCTAATAACACATCTCCGATTTAGTTTATAAGCTTGTCTGTATCATCGTTGAATAAAGTTCGGTCAGACGACAGTTGTCGAACCTTTTTAAAACTTTACATATTACGGTGCGTCTCGCTCGTAACACCTCTCGAAACCGTTTTACTTTCGTTTGAAACATTTTTCGATATCTTCTTTTTTTTTGAGATATTTGCCTGGATAAATTGAAATAGGATACTTTGTATAGATAATTAGATATATATTATATGTAATCGAAATAAATTGTTTTATTATAATTATATACAGTAATAAAAATATCGTTTATAACAATCAATTAAAGTAGTAGAAGATTTAAGAGATTACAAGAATATATCGTTTATAACAATCAATTAAAGTAGTAGAAGATTTAAGAGATTACAAAAAATTATATTATTAATAAAGTGTCAGAAAATACATTTAACTGTTATTAAGTTGATTAATAATTATAGAAGATACTTATTAAAATTTCAGAAAAATTATCTATAGTTACAAATTATCATCAATATGATAAAATTATTAGGAAATTGCAAAAAATCATTTTGTCTAAAGAAAGATTTCTGATACACATGTGACACATAAAAAAGTTGATCTATTAAAAATAATACAATTATTCAAACTTATTATTAGTCTTCTTCGAGTAATAATCAAGTAAGGTATGTTATATAATACATCACGCAATAAGTTTTCGAAAAATTAATTGCAACGGGAATAGTTGGCGAGCTTCTCAGAGTGAACTGACTAATACAGAGTTTGCCATAGATGTTGTGTAGTTTGATAAAGTAAGTTTACTACCTAAACTTTGAGAACCACAGAAGAGGCTTTAGGTTGCACTTCACGGATAGCTGCGAAAGTAAGTGCGCGAGATAGCCTTCTGCGCATGATAGTACATATGCTTTATGAACATTTTGTTATTATTATTACAGCGCGTAATAAGACACAGAGCGGCATCATATTTCGAGTTACACGCTGCAGTGTGAATTAACATTCGCGTAATTAGAGAATAAGAAATGTGATAATATAGAATTGGAAATTCCATTTTTGTAATAGTACATTTATCATTAGAAGAAAATTGTAATATTAAATGAAAAAAAGACATTTTTAATAGTAACGCAGTTTTATATATTAAGAGTTATTTCATTATTGTAAGAACTTTTATAGCGTTTAAAACGAATTAAGAAAAACAATTTTTTATTTAATTACAAGAATAAGAGTGTACTCTCTCATCCTGTCTAAACGTGCAATTATCGTAAAATTTATTTTATTCCTGCAAAAGAATACTCTTCTTTGCTATCCTGAAAATGCCTTTAGCAGTATTCAGAGTTAAAGAAAATAATAAGCATTTTTCCTTTGTGAATGTTCAAAATATTTAAGTCATTTTCATAGACATCAATCTTCAATACTTGTGTGTTTAATTTAAAAAGTAAAATGTTTCGTATTTCTTTAGACGATATTACTTGCAAGAACATTATAATCTCTGGTAGTACAACAAAAATTAATAGGATTTACTTACAATTAGTATACTCGGCCTGAATCCTTGTCAGCAAAATTCCAAAGAACAAAACGAGTGCCAATGCGTCGAATCCTGAATGCGTTAGACCGAACATCTCGCTTCGGATCTGCTGAGGCTTTGTCAAAGGGCGATTAAAAAGTGTCACACTCTCATCGACGCCAACGCTTCTTTATACGTCGTGCAACCACAATTGTATCTTTCTCGTCTCGATTTCTTTCTTTGTCGCCGCCCATCGCCCTTGCCATCGCTTTCCGCGATGCGTGGCGTGTCGCGAGGCCGTGAACTTCGCACACGGTATTACCCGTGTGTTTGTTCACAACGGAAATTTACCTGATAAGACCTGATGCGACCCTGGCGTAATTTTCAAGGCAAGCGTTAACGAAAATCCACGCGAAGAACTGTGCATTGATCAAAGACTATAAAGGACTATACAATAGTCGACTTCGTGAAGACGAACACTCGCGAACATTAATTTGTATATATGTATTAACAGTGAATTGCTTTAATTTTCATCAATTTTTACGTTCGTCATCAAGGTCAAGGTTTCTATCTCGATTCTGTAAATTTTATTTTAATTGTACTCATGCTCATCACGTGCGGTTTCCAGCCAAAAATGATAATGAAATTGATTCAACGTCAAAATCATCAAATTGACTTCGAATCAATTCCATTATCATTTTTGACTGGATTGAATAAGTCATTTTGATATCTATAGAGCCACACAATTACTATGTCCATTTATATTTAATTAGTGTCGAAAAAACCTAAAATTTTAATGAAAAATTTATGTGCAATAAAAACGAGAACTTTGAAATTATTATTTTATAGTTTTAAATAATTCGGAATAATATATTCATTCTCAAATAATATTGTTATACTTGTTGAATATGGTATCACCAAATAATATAATTTTTAAAGAATAATAGTATTTAAAAGCGAGAACTCTCTCCAGTGATTTACTTCCATCTCTAACATCAGTCAAAATTATATTTTTAAATATATATATAGACTTAATCAACAAAAGTATAAAAATAATCGCGAAATTAATTGATCGGACAAACAAAAATAACATTGAAGAAAATACAATATTAAATAATATATTGAATTTTAATAGCGCGCGTAGGACCAGCCATAGCTTCAATAACAGCATTTAGATTTAGTCTGCTTGGAATTGTTCCCACAAATTTTTCGAGTAACCTCAGGATTAATGTTTTCCCGAGCTTCCAGGATGGAAATTTTTCCAATTCCCTATGATTTCGAGGATTCGATTTTCGGACTTCTGACTTGAGAACTTCCCACAAATGCTCAATAGGGTTCAAGTCTGGGCTGTGGGAAGGCCATTCAAGTATGTTGATCTTATTTAATTTAAAAAATTTCCTGTGCACCACGAGAGGTATGCTTGGGATCGTTATCTTGCTGCCTGATAAAGTTTCGATAAAAGATTCCAATTATACAAGCGGATTCTTTTGAATTACGCTTCAAAATTTCTACGTACATATGTTGATTCATTATACCATGGATAAATTCAAGTTTCCCTAATCCAGAAGCTGCCATAGATCCCCAGAAGTGAGATTTTCCACCACCATATTTTATAATAGGAATTAGATTTCGGATTTTAAAAGCTTCTCTGATTTTACGGTAAACTTTTTTCTTTTCATTAGATTCAAACAATTTAATCTTCGAGAGAGAGTAAATCACTGGAGAGAGTTATCACTTCTAAATACTATTATTCTTTAAAAATTATATTATTTGGTGATACTGTACCGAAAAATAAACTTGCAATATCTGTGTCCGGACAATTAGTTTCGTCGCTGTGTATAATGCTAGATTTGATATCTATGTATCAAATCTCGCATTTTGAAAATATACATTAAATATGCATATATTTAATGTTCTTTCTGTATTTATAATTTCGTGTAATGCGTTTAATGATGCTTTTAGCACGCACGCATTACATCGCAATGTACAGTAACGTCGGAGATCGTGATTGCAATCATGAACTTGTATATATTGCCATTACGTGAATTGCACGTACATCGCGGTTCCAGATCTTCGGATGGCTCGGCACCGGTTACTGCATGCGGCGAATAAACACGGTCATCGTATGTAATCATAGCTCGCACGTGCATACGTTCTGTACGACGTCGCCTGTCATCGGCAAATGGCAATCGGATTATGTATCTACGAGTAATCGCTGTGACAGGTGGACAGGATAATCAGGAGACGGGAGCTGTCGTTTACGAGAATTTCGTAACAGGTCGCGCAGCAATGTTGGTAGAATAGCATAATTATGTCCAATTGGGTTCAAGAGAATTCTGATTTCCATCTTCGTGGTAATGTGCAACCGCGATTTTGGAATTCCATAGTGCACATGTCCAAAGAATACGCAGAAATAAATATCAATGGTAAATAAAAGACGATCATTCAAATTAAAATTATTTTTTTGCAATTATGATTGTAACAATATACTCGTCTTAGTGCCGAGACACTACCGTGTCTCTTGATTACTTTTTGTTTATTCCTGGTATCCACGAAGTAATTATTATATTATGATTGCGTTCAGGGAGACGCTATTAATGCTATTTGTGTAATTCTATCTTTATTATTCATTAAACATAATACAAGGATACAATAGGTACAAATAGCGCTAATAACGTCTCTTTGAATGCACTCTATATATATAATAATATATAGACTGTGTAAGTACAATAATTCCTTTGAGCGGAATACATTTTACGAGTAATTTGATGATACCTTCATCAATTTGAGTCAAGACTGGAGCAAATAATCGCATGTATAATTACTATCGCGGAATTTATTTCTTCTATTTCGAAGATCGTAATTTCTTAAAGAACAAAATGTCATTTTAATAATTTAACGATTTAAAGTCATTTTTTGTTATTTGGTATCTGCAAACTAAATAATGGCGTAAAATAAACGTAATATTTATGGCGACGTTTTGATACACGTGGAAGTTAAAAATCGCAAACTCAATATTATTAACTCAAGAGATTGGGTCATCATTGCTTTTTGGATATCTAATCGGTGTGATCATAATTGTATTTAATATTTTAGAAATTATTTTCTTTTTCATTAATTTCACATTTCGATAAATAAAACACAAATTCCTGGTAATACAACATTAAAAATTAACTAGATAAATAATTGATTCTAGTTATAGCTATCATTTCTTATATATGTGGAACTACGCTAAATTGCTTTTCGAACTTCGCGTGAAGGCACGTGCCAGAAGACGTGCTTCATGTCCACGTGGAAGTCGGGCATGCACACGCCGCAAGTCATGCAGGTGCATGTGCGATCGCAAGTACGCGCTGCGGGGATATGAAAGCGAGAGTAACTCCGCTATTACTCCATCCATGTTCCGTTGAACTTGACCTACTATTTGTATCCGCGATACGATATAGCTCTCGTGTCTATAACACCACGCACCTTCGTGTCACCTTCTTCATTTTTCCCCTCTTTTATCGGGGTCCACCTACGTGGTAGGATGTCGTTTGAGCTTACCTACAATTAGCAGGCTATGCGAAGTATTCCTGCAGCTAGGTAACCGGGTCAAGTTCGTCTCGTGACTTATAGACGAGATAGCACGCGGTAGGACACGGAAGTCTAATTTTATATGTCACTGTCATAATCACACCAAAAATATTTCTGTTCGATATTTCCATCGAAGAAGGGCTTAACGATGTTTGTTCGAAAATGATGAGAAATTTCTAGTTAGAATGATATATTTGTCATTATAATGTCAAGTTATCAAATACGCGATGAGTCATATGTAAATTATATATCTCAGTATATACATACGTTCGGTTTATGTAGATATGAATGTTGAGCGATTAATATTATCGTCCAAGAAAAATATGATAGCCAAAGTAGCGTTTAAAAGTGAATAAAATATCAAGAAAATATCAATTATTTTAATGAGATTGTTTAAGATGCTTAAAAGTTAGTCGCAAAAAAAGTCGCAGCTCTTAATTTTTTCTCAGTTTCCTTGTTCAAAATTACTTCCTCCATGTGTTACGGGCGTGCCAGTTCCAAGGTCATGATTAGAAGATTTTTGACAGCATGACATTGCCCGCTCATGAACAGTACCTGTGTAAAGTTGTGAACATTAGATATTACGAGATACTAGGAGTCACTGACCGAGGCCAAGCAGATAAAAGTTTCGTTCGATACACTTGAGATAGACAGACCTTGATGGCCCACAGTTCCGAAAACAATTATCACATATTTATTCTTGCAGGGCCGTTCCATTCAAATATATGTGTGAGCACTTTCGTTATAATTTTACATGTGTAATCGCATATTCGATAATTAGAAGTGCAGAATGCAAGTTTATATTTTTTTCCAATTTTAATATTTGCTACATACATTAATATTACTTTCATATTATAGAGTCATATCATACAAGAATTTCGGTCAAATTACTCATTACTCTTATCAAGTTTAATCATCTGATCTATTTAATATGAAATATTATAGTAATAGTACTTAATTTTCAAAATTTCTTAAAATAGTTTTTTATTTATCTACTTATATTTTTTCTGCAGAATTGTATATTTATTTATCCATTCGTTTGTATACTTTTTATGTATTACACTTTATCTTTACAGAAGTTATTTTATATACATTATACTCAGTTCGATTTTTGTACAATTTGCGTACGAACAGCTAGGTGAGGTAGAGTATATCCATATTTTAACAATAAGTAACGTACTGATCTACTTAGAAAATAGTTACTAACCGAATGATACGATCTTATAATGGAACAGGTGAATATTTACTTATAAACATGTATTTATCTAATAAACATGTATAAGGCGTAAAGTAACAATTTTATTTAATATTTATACTTAATATAAAAACTGAATGTTCAACTCAAATCGATCTTAATTGAAAAGTTATTACCTATTTCTGTGTAATAAAAATACGATGGTAAACTTTGAGCTTTCAGATCGATAGTTTTATACTCAATTGTCAGAATTAATGGTTGAAGG